CAAATCTGGTTCAATATGGTTAGTATTATCACTTCAAAACTTTGCCCTCATGTGACAAACAGGTGTGTAATTAATTACCTGATTGCAGAAAAATATTACAAACAAATTGCCCAGGATATACAACATTTAAAAAAAAATTATACTTGAGGGTCTCCCTGGTGGCAGAGGGGTTAAGTCTCAGCCCTATCAAGCTATGGCCAGCAACTATGGCTGACTTCAACCCAGGCCAGGGAGCTGACCCACATGGCACAGCAGACCTCTCCTGTCTGGCCCACTGATCCCCTCTGCAGTGGATTTCAATAGATCTGCCTGTTTCTGCTCCCCACCCTGTCTCTGGTGAATCCTCTCACCCCTCATATCTCTGGCCTACACCCCAGTTCTTCTATGCATAAATAAATAAAAATAACTCTTTAAACAAATCATACTTGAAAAATGTCGGAAAAACCAGCAAAGAGTCCAGGGGATATCTGAATAGACAAGGTTCATTGAGCAGTTTGTGATATGCTAAATGTGCTAAGCATTTCATTGTACCCCCTTACCCCCAAGAAGAAACTCAGTTTAAGGGAAGTTAAGTAACAATGTTGTTAAAGTAACTTTTCCTAGTCAGTAAGTGACCAGTTTTCCAGGCCCTGACAATTTAGCAGTGGTTTAACAGCTATTGATTGTTCATGTTTTGGTTCTTTGTAGCAAACATCCGAAACAAAACTTTTAAATTTTGTTGTTATGATTTCCATTTTACATAAAAGTGATGTGTTAACCTGCCCAAATCAGAGCTGAATCCCTGAGGCCATATTTGAACTTTATTTCAACTGATTCTGAACCCCACCCAAGTATGTAGGTGCCCCACAATTCAGAAAGATGAAAGTTCTGGCCATTCCTGGGTAGCACTCTGAGTAGTGGGTGGGTTTCTTCCTCTCATCTCAGCACCAGTCCCACCCATTTCAACACTCAGCACAAAGTTTTCCAGATGATCTCTAAGTGACAGCCTCAGTCCTCTGCCCTAGAACTTAGAGGGGATCAAGGAGCTGAGAGTGCAATGACCTACCAAGTGATTGTATCAGGCAAATTTGGAAGATCCTGTTTGGGTGCCTTTGCACAAGCAGAGGGATATTGACTTCCAACCTGAGGTGTGCACTGCAACTGGCAGCCTCAGAAGTGCACAGCCACCTGCTGAAAACAGCTCCTCACAGGGACCTGCTGGGATGCGATGGAAGAAGTTTCTGGACCAACTGTGTTTCTGTTTCTGACTTCCCTAAAATGGCGGCACTGCACCCCTATATCCTCTTTTGCATAGTTTGGAGAAGAGCTTTTGCATGGTTTACTTGCCCTTTGCCCTCTTCTCTCAGGCCTGAGTTTAGGCATGCGGAGCCTGAAGGCCCCGCTGCACTGAGAGGCTCCCTCCCTAGGTTGCAACACGGAGATGTCTGTCGTGTAGCTGGTAGCTTAGGGAGACTGCCCAGTGGGAAGGAGCCTCCAGAACAATCGACCCACACAGGATACAAAATGGAGTGTACGCTATGATTACAATGCTGCTAAATTAGGTCTGCAGTGGACTGACCCTGGAAATGAATAAACAAAAATGAAAACAGCTGTGATGTGCTGGTAAGACTGGAGATGGTTGTTGCTCATTTTCTAGTTTTTAATCTTTTTATCATGTCATATAGAGCTTGCAATGAAAGGTACATACTTGAAGGATTTTGGTGTGAGAAATGTTTTTCTCTAAACATTTCTGCTGTCCATCATTTAGTTTTAGTTTAGATAATGATTTTGCAGAAACACTTTAAACACTAATGTGATAAATATTCCAAACATTTCCTAGTCTCAGTATCAAATCAGTTACTGTCAACGTGGAGATTCATGCCTCAAACACTGATGTACAGGGAGGCAGAAGAGCATAGAGGTTAAAATGGATTTTGGGGTCAGGCAGACGTGGGTCAAAACTTACTCTGTGATTTAGCACAGGTATTGTTTTTTCAGGCTTAGCTTCATCAACTATAAATTAAAATTAATAAGGACCAGGCCTCCCTGGTAGCTCAGGGGTTAAGTCTCAGCACTATCAGGCAGTGGGGGTTGGGGGTGGGGTCTCCACAGGGGGGTGAGCTGACCCACAGGGCATAGCAGACCTCTCCTGTCTCACCGGCTGCTTCCCCTCAGCAGTGTATTTCGGTAGATCCACCTGTTCTTCTCCCCACTCTGTCTCTGGTGAAACCTTTAGTCCCTCCCACATCTTTGGCCTACACCCCAGCTCTTATATGTATAAATAAATAAAATAAGTGTTAAAGAAAACTAATAAGGACCTGAGTCTATGAATAACTTTGCACATGACAGGCTTTCTAGTTAAATGTATTTTTTATTTTGATCTTCATCTTTATCTGAAGCCATAAATAGACATGAACATATCTCAAATTTACTGATGAGAAAACTGAGTCTTAAAGGGGAAACTGATTTGCCTGAGGTCATCCAGTCAATTGAGAATAGAACTAAAATTCAAAGACAGGGTCACTCTGACTCTAGGACACATCCCCTGGATGTGACCACCTACCTTACTTTGCTGGGCTGCTATACATCATTCAAAAGTTGCTGGCAGGGGGCACTCCTAGTGGCACAGGGGTTAAAGTCTTGGCACTATCAAGCTATCACCAGCCATTGCAGTATGAGTTTGATCCCTGGCCAGGTAGCTGACCCACATGGCACAGCAGACCTCTCCTGTCTCACTTGCTGCTTCCCTCAGCAGTGTATTTCTGTCAATCCACCTGTTCTGTTCCCCTTTCTGTCTCTGATGAATTCTCTTACCTCCTGTACCTCTGGCCTGTATCCCAGTTCTTATATGTATAAATAAAATTAAAAAAAAAAACAGTTGCTGGGAGGATAAAAGATAAAATGTATGTAAAACATTTTGTACAATGTCTGACACTTAAATATACATTGGCTACAGTCAAATGTGACAGAGGAGAGAAGATTGCAGCTATAGAGTTGTTTTGAGGCATTATCCATTGATAGACGTGGTTTATTTATTATATCTGGAAGACTTGGAAGGTAGCCCCTGCTTCCCTTACAAGACCCCCTCACACACACACACACACACACACATGCACACACGCACACGCACACACACACACTCATCCCTGCCACATGCCTCTTCCAACCTGTGTATTTTGGCAACGAAGAAAACCTTCCCTGACTAATGCAGGGTTAATTTGGACTTTAAATGCAAATGGCTTGAGATAAATCTGAAGTAGTAAACAATATTAAGAGAAAGGGGCTATATCCTAATTCCTCATTCTTCATTTCCATTTAGTTGATAATGAAAGAAGAAACAAACAAAAAAAATTGAAAATGACCTCTCTTATTTGAAAATCGCGTTGCCTCTGTCAAGAAGAAACACTAAATGTGGCTTAAGTTTCCTTCTTCCCCTGTGGGTAAGGAAGGTTCAGAGTAAAAACAATCTCTGGAACTCTCTAAATATCCATGTCATTTGATAAACAGCCAGTAGCCAGGAATGTGTAGGGAAGGCATGAAGGTTCCGCTATCACCCAAACTCCCTGCTAATTCTCAGATGTGTGTTATAAATTCATAACAAATCATGGGTCCTCCCTGGTGGCACAATAGGTTTAAGCACAGCACTGCGAAGCAATCTGCAGCCAATGCAGCACGAATTCGATCCCCAGCCAGGGAGCTGACCCACATGGTGCAGCAGACCTCTCCTGTCTCGCCCACTGCTCCCCTATGCAGTGTTTTTCTGTCAATCCACCTGTTCTGTTCCCCACTCTGTCTCTGGTGAACCCTCTCACCCCCCACACATCTGGCCTATACCCCAGTGCTGTATGCATAAATACATAAATCTTATTTTTTAAATAACAAATCATAATGAAAGCTATGAAGGATGTGCATAGCCCCATTATAGACTACTTTCCAAGCCAGCAGCAGAGGGCAAGCGGTTTCTAGTTTAGATGGATGTGTTAACTTGTAGAGAATGAATGTAACAAAAAATTGTGTGTTGGGGGAGCTAGGGAAAGCTTAGTGATCAACCTGGAAAGTTTTGAAACTAGGAGAAAAAAATTTTTTTCTTCTGAGTCAGAGAATATGGAACTAGACACCCTTACGATTCTACCTTTTCTTTCTCTTGCAAACCTGACCTGTCTAGTCCCTGGGGTGGAAATATCCCCTAATCTTGAGATGATTTCAATAGTCTAACATAGCCTGAAGACTTGATACATTTGAATCAGATTACCAAATCTCCTGGCTGAAAAGCTATGTTTATGTAACTTGGCGTCCTGTGTTACTATTGAAGGTACTGATCTCAAGAACATTAGACCCACTTATTTCTATAATACTCAGTTAACAAAATGGCATTTTCATCTATACATTGATCTTTTTTAGCCTAACAAGCATCTAGTCAAGAAAATAATCCAGACTTGGTGCAAAGGGGAGATCAAGTTCTAGTCCTATAAAGCTTGAGAGCCAGCCAGTAGGAAGTGCCAACCAAAGAGCCAGCCTAGAGATAGAAGGTGTCTGGAAGACACCCCATCCCCACCCCCAACCCAGCCAGCAAGGCTGAGTGTGTTAGAAACATCGGGAGAAGGAAGCAGAGTAAGAGAGTTCTCAGGAGACGAAGTCAGGGGTATCATGGAAAGCTTTGAAAATTGAGTTAGCTTGAAGATGAGAGGCATTAGGAGGGAGTATCCCAAATCAGTTTTCTATTTGAGAATACTTCTCTGACAGAATGAACACTAGAATGGACTCAGAAAACTAGAGGCAAGGGACCAACTTATAAATTCATTGTAATTCACAGGTAGGAGATGAAGCAGACTGAGAAAAGGACAGCGAAGTGTGACACAGCAAACAGAGTGGACAGGTCAGTCCCAAGAAACATTCTGTGGTCATACTGACCATGCCTTGAACTTCTCACTTGTATTTGTGAAAAGGAGTAGCCAGCTGCCATATGACTGGGAGAAGGGACTCTGCTCTTTTTGGCTTTCTGGGTTGTTTTGAAATACTTTTCAGAAGCCTGCCCTCTTTTCATAAAGCAGGTAGAGATGTTTGATGGCTTTTGAGGCAAAACAGAGTTTATGAGCTTCCTCTGACAGGGCACATTCTGGACTAAGTGCAAACACAACATTTCTCTCCAGGCCTGAAAACTGCTCACTACTGTCTAAGATGATGTGACTGCCCAAAACACCATCAGCCTGGCTGAACACAACTTCTGTTGCTCCGGGGATCTCAATGAATTCCATTGCTGTTAGCAGTGCAAGTTCATAGCGCCTTCGGTCTTCCCTTCTCCTGCACAGAATTGCTATATCTTTGGGCAGATATCCACATTGGAACAGACTGTGACATCTTTCCGCCACATATTTTGTGATTTGTTCTGTTGTCAAGTTGGACTGGATCTCGCACACCCCAGGCAGAGCCTGGGCACACACTGCTTCCTCGTAGGCAGCTTCCCTGAACAATGCCAGTGTGTCTAGAGACATGTGGCTGGGAGGTTTATCTTTGATCCTCATCATTTCTTTTTTCATGACCATTGCTATTTCCAGAGCACAGTGGATCCCATTGGTGACTACTTTTCGAGGAAACTGTGCAGATGGAGCAGGAAGGCCATTGACATCTGCATGATGGACTTGGAAAGGGTCCAAAAAAAGCCAGAAAATCCCATGGTGGAGGTTTTCACTTGCAGTGCCCCTCACCTTTGGGTGGGTGATGCTCCTAGCCTTCAGGAACCAATCACCATAGTTACTGCGGAAATTCTCTATCTCATCCATCACTACATGTTTAATCTTTCGGAACTCCCATTGCATGAAGTTTTTCCTGGTCACTGCTTGGCAAGTTGTTTGTTGGCTGTAAGGATGAAAGAGAGAACAGGATTTCAGGTATATAAACAACTGGAATATCATACATTCAATCCTCTCTGGGCTGGAGTCAGAGGTTAATACACATTTGGATTTAATGATTCAGTAGTGTTCTGAATACTTCTGAACTGCTCTACTTACAGATTACTTGGCAGACAGAATACACAACTGCAAACCCTACTTCTGGAGCTTATCTGGTTATATCTGCTGGTGAAACTTGAAATTAACCCAAAGAGGAGATTTTTTTAAAAAAAGGTTTATTTATATATTCATACAAGAACTGGATACAGGCTAGAAGTATAGGAGGCAAGAGGATTCACCAGATACAGAGTGGGGAGCAGAACAGGCAGATCCACTGAAATACACTGCTGAGGGGAGCAGCAGGCAAGATAGGAGAGGTCTGCTGCTCCATGTGGGTCAGCTCCCTGGCAGGGAATTGAACTTGTACTGCAGTGGCTGTGGACAGTTTCATAGTGCTGTGCTTTAACCCATTGTGCCACCAGCGAGGGCCCCAAAGAAGAGATTTTTAAACATATTTCCATTAGTAGTAGACTTCTGCTGCTTGACAACCCCTAAAGATGATCTCCTTATTGCTAGATGAAATCTCAAGTCATTTATATTTGTTACTACCATTTCTTTTTATCCTTTTCAGAACTAGAGAACAGTCATAATTTTTATATGCAAAAGAAGTATGGGTTAATGCAGACTCCTCTAGAGCAAGTCTTATCTCCCCCACTTGCTTGTAATACAAAACTAGAAAAGTCTGTTTAGATTTTTATATGGAAAATTTCAAGCTGTTGCTGAGTTTCATGACCTGCCAAGTAGGGTAGCAAGTCTATAGAACTCTGCCTCTCTGGAGCTTCTACCCTGTATACTTGGCACTGTTCCTGTATAGCACAACTTAGCACACCAAAGGAGGGAGAACAAATTAGAGGTGACAAGAAACAACCAAGTTTGCTTTAAGAATATATACACTTTTCCATATAAATATACATATATATTTATATATGTAATTTTAACAAATTTTAGTATTTCTTGCCTCATCTAATTTGGATCCAACTACTCTCATTCATTTCTACAGACATTCCACATGCAGTCCTGGGACTTCTTTTCTCATTTACCTTGAATCATAATCATAGTCCAATTTGGACGGTGTGGGCTTCCTGAATAAAAAAATGCACTGATTCTTATCCATCTCTGTATTCAATTCATATTACAGCTTCAACAGATAATTGTTGAATTGAATTTTCTTTGTAATTGGAATGTTTTAAACTTACTATAAAACATAATAAACAACACAGGCCTTAGCTGTGTACGAGGTCTTTCATCATCTGGCATCTAGCTCCTTTCCAACCATTGCACCTGGCACACACCCACGCTCCCTCAACTGCTCTGTTAGACCTATCCTTCTGGTTCTCTAGTTTTCTATACCTGAGCATCTGTATGTCCTATGACTTTAAAACCCTAATTTTGTTTACTTCTACTTCTGACTTCATGAAAGTATGCCCAAAGAGCTCCTTTGCTGGGGACTATTTGATGACCAGCCTCTAGTTTAAGTTAAAATAAGCATATTTTAATGGTCATGCTAATTATACAACACTCACACTGCTTATTGTTTTTGTCTCCTTTACTGGGGTTTAATGTAGTTTTTTTAATGTTTTCCCCTTCTAACACTACATTCACACAGTATCTAGCATAGAAATGATGAGCAAGAAGTTCTGCTGAATAAATAACCTAAGTCAAAATGATATTACCTTCATTTGCTGAATTATGTAAAAACCATGCCTCCCTGGTGGTATAGGGGTTAAGTCTCAGCACTGTCATTGCTATGGTCTGAGTTGGATCCCAGACCAGGGAGCTAACTCACATATAGTGCAGCAGAACTCTCCTGTCTCACCTGCTGCTCCCCCTCAGCAGTGTATTTCAGTATATCTGCCCCCACTCTGTCATGGGTGAATCTTCTCAACACCAGTACTCTGGCCCACACTCCAGTTCTTCGACACAAAAATAAAATCTTTTTTAAATTCCTGTACTAAATTAAATATTAACGATTTAAGTCAAAAGCAAATTAGCATGTCTTCTTAAATTCTTGATTCAGAAAAAGTCAAACAAATGAAAAATAATTTATAAGCAAGATCAAATGGCGTTTACATTCAAGTTCCCCTAGGTAGGATGTCTGGTTAACTGAAATATACTCCATGTCTTTAGAGCCGTAATAACAAAAAGCATTTAAAACAAGGTAGGTTTATCTTAACTTTTCTTAAATTTAAGGATACAGATTGTAGAAAAAAAACATTTTTAGCTACATAAATTTAAAGTTACAATGAGAAGTTTAAACTTTAATCCAGAAAACCAGAAAGACCAGAGTGGCTTCACCCAGGCAGGTACTTCATTGCCTAAAAGTGACCAGTTGTGGCCCAAATATCTGATCCCTTGGAAATGTGTGTAGAGTTTCGGCTCTTGCACTTTCACAGCCAAGGCATGACAAAATCTCAAACTAAATCAACAAAGTAATGGCACGGTTGAAAAGATGACTAAATGTGTTTCTTTTGTTTAGTAAAACTCTTACGCCACATAATTCTTCAAGCAGTCACTTTCACAGACATAGAGGATCTCCTTTGACTTGCAGTGGAACAAGTCCTTAATCTTCTCCATGACCCTCACAGCGAGGGCTGTCCTCCTGGTTCCTGGAAAGCAGTAGACAAACAATTCTCGTGTCTCCTGGAGGCTCCCGGAGAGCAACTCACACTGCTCTGCTATGAGCAAGTTGAAGAATTCACAGCCCAGTTGGTCACTCAGAAGAGATCTCGAGCCCAGCAAGACCACAACGAGGGCCTGCAGCACACCTTCCATTTCATCCTCACCAGCAAGCCTGTAGGACTGGGGATAATGCACTGGGGTTTTGTGGGGTGTAGGCTGTGTGCTGCGCAGGTGTATCAGCTTTGGAATAACACACACTTTCCCTGTGTAGCCGCCAACAGTTCCCAGTTTTTGCTTTAACTGACGAGCAACGTTTTGGACATACTCATGGTGACCAGTCGTAGCGGGGCCTGTTAAGATTGTATAGAGGACCAGGGGGGTGCTAGGTGCTATAAGGAGAGCATCACACAGAACAGTCTGCTCCTTCTGTAAGCCGAGATCACTAGCCCAACTTCTAGAAAATAGCATAATCCCCCGAGAATAAGGATATATCTGCTTCTTCATCAATTCCTCCAGTTCTCTATAATCTGTAAAAAGCTTCTTACAGAAGAATTCTGGTTTAAATTGAATCTTGTCCTGTGTCACTGAAAATTCAAGGAATAGAAGTCAGTTACTACAATTTGCAAAAACATCATCAGTAATCCTGCAGCGTCTAAGGAAGAATGAGTCTAACATGGTAAAATGTCTGCAAAACAAACAAACAAACAAAAAAAAACCATCCCCTCCTCTCAGACCAGGGCTGTGAAGGGCTAGTTTCTGCAGTTCTCCTACAGGAGAAGGAGACCTGGGAGGAGTCTTCACAGAACACAAGCTCCCTCTCCTCAATCCCAGGTGGTCTACTATTAATGGAGGGTATTCCTTCCTGTTCAGTTTTTTTTTTTTTTTTGTGGGGGGATGGAAACATACCTTTTTGGTGATCAGTGATTTCTAACACATGACAATTTGGGACCCCTGGAGCCACTTGGCAATGTCTGGAATTATTCTGATTGTTACAGCCTTCATAGGACAGCCCTTGCTCAGCAGGGAATTATCAGTAGGACAGAGGTTGAGAAACTATGTTTTAGAAAGAATCCATTGCATTGGAAAGCCAGGGGCAGTTTTTTTTTTTTTTGGTTTGTTTTTGTTTTTTGAGAATTTAGGAATTCTCTAGATTCTCTAATTCTGAGAACAAGAGCGATCTGACAGGCAGCCCCAAAGCATACTGAAGTGCAGCATGGATTTGATGCTGGGAAACAGAAAAGTCACATTATTTCAGAACCATTCGTTATGTCTTTAAAGAGAAAGTTTTGGACTAATTGCTACATATTCCTTCCAAGTTCATTTTAGAAAATAGTTCCCCTAGCTGAAATAAAAAAGGAATACCTGGAAGCAAACGTTGCTGAAGATCTCCCTTAAATTCCAGGACTTTTGTGGGATATGATGGGCTTCTTGGTGCAGAGGAAGTCGGTGAAATCAAGGGAAAGCTATAGTTTGTGATGGAACTGGAAGGGGCTAAACAAACATATGCAAATTTGGTTCAGACAAAAAAGAAAAAGTAAGAGAACTCTTTCCTTGCTTTTTCTCCTGGAGACAGGCATGCATCGTGCTTGAGGCACTCTCACATTTTCTAAGTCTCCAACAGCTCACAGCTGTCATGAAAGGAAGCAGCCTCTGAGTCACACTGTGACTCATCTTCGGCTCATCATTGCACTTCTCTCTTCTGGTGATTTCTAAGGTTCCTTCTAACTCTAATATTCCAGTTCCAAGTCATCTCTAAAAGGAAACGGCTTCCAGGGGGAGTCCAAGAGGGTTAAGTATAGTCTATATTTTTTATAATATGATATTTTATTTTTACATAATTTTGTGCCTTTTCCCATCTCAGTTGTAATCCCCATGGGCTTCCCACCAAGTACAGTATTTTTTAATACTATGATTGTTGTTTAAGTTCCCACTTAAGGTATAAATGGGATAAGTGAATCTCTCTCACTCTCTCTTCTCTCTCTCTTCTCTCACTTATTCTTTCTCTCTTTCACTCCTCTCTCTCTGTGTGACTCTTTCTTATGTGTGTGTGTGAAAGAGAGAGAGAGAGAGAGACTCAAATTTAGAACAAGGGAATGATCAGATAAAACCACACATGTTGTGATCCAAGCTTCTATTATCAAATTTGAAACATATTGACCATGAAGGCAAGTTATAAACTTTATTGTAGCCGCAAGTCTTTTCTTTTCTGATTTGATTACAAATCACCAGGGCTGAATTCGAAGCAGAACTGTAAGGGCAGTGCAAACACTGGGCGCCCCTCCCATCTCATCTGGCAAGTTTCCCCCCACTTGGTGGTGCCCATGTTGAAGACATTGGCTAAAACAATTCAAATTCCAGCAGGTTTCTCTTGAAAGAATTAGTCGAGAGCCCTTCTTAAACAATGCTTCTCTGAAATATGTCTAGCTGAGAGTATAAGTGAGTGCTTTAGACTAGCACTATGAGCCTGCCACATTTTTTCCAACAGGCCTTCACAATATATACAAGGGAATTTTCACTAACTCATAGCAAGGTGGCATATTATAACTTTCCCCCAAATAGAATAACATCCAAGCATTTTTTGACCTCCAAGAGTTCATGTTCTGAGTCTTTGGGATGAAAAACATTAGAGAAAGAACCCAGTAGTGGGAGAACAGTTGTAAGTTGTTGTCTTTAGTTGTAAGAGTTTTGTTCTTTAAAATAATTTACTAGGCTGGCCCTCCCTGGTGGCGCAGCGGGTGAAAGCACACCACAAAGAAGCTTAAGCCACTTCCACATGGGTTCTATCCCCGCCTGCCCCGGAGGTGACCACATGGCGTGGCAGACCTCTCCTGACCCGCCCGCTGCTCCCCTCAGCAGTGTACTTCTTCGATCTGCCTGTTCTGCTCCCCTCTCTGTCTCTGGTGAATCCTCTCACCCTCCGCCTCTCTGGCCTGTACCCCAGTTCTGTACGAATAAATAAATAAATCTTTAAAAAATAATAATAATAATTTACTAGGCGCCTCCCTGGTGCCTAGGGGTTAAGTCTCAGTGCTATCACTGCTATGGCCTCCATCTCCACGTTAGGGAGCTAACCCACATTTGGGGAAACAGACTTCTCCTGTCTCGCCTGCTGCTCCCCTCAGTAGATCCATCTGTTCTGCTCCCCGCTCTGTCTCCTGTAAATCCTCTCACCCTCCTGCACCTCTGGCCTACATCCCAGTTCCTATGCAAATTAAAATATCTGTCAGAGGCAGAAGAGGGGTTCCTCCCTGAAGACTAATGTCTTTACTTCCTCTTTACCTGGTTGAATATCCAGCATCTTGGTCACCCACTGCTCAGTTGTCAGCCTTGAGACAGACCCATCCTTGATGATCCAGGAATCTGGGGCCTCTGTGAATACCACACAGCAGAAAGGCTCCACTTGAACCACGCAGACGTACCCGTACAGAACATCTCTTTGGTACACATTCAGTATCTTGGTAGTGAAATTCACCTTTGGCTTTTCACAGCAAAAGTGGAATATAGGCAGTTTTTCTATGCAGTTTTTGATTACATTTTTTAATACGTCAGGGCTCACTTTTTCGCTCTTACATCCAAACACTTCCTTGCTTTTATCATCCACCCCAATAATTAGATATCCCCCATCCGTGTTGGCAAATGCAGAAATGTAATGAGGCAGCATCTCTCTAATCCGAGGCACAATCTTTTTGGTGGTGAACCTTTTAAACTCCACATGTGTTGATTCGGTAAAGCTGAGTTTCTCCTTATATGTGAGTCTGTCCCTTTTAAAGAATTCTGTGGCAGACATTCTCATACCTTCCTCTTCCTGAATGCCTCTGTCAAGAACTTTCTGAGACTCCAGTGCCCTCACTGTTGACCTTCCTCTCTGGGCTCTAGACTGCTTTTCTCTGAGAAGCTCCAGGGCACTGCTGGCACTCAGGTTGATAGCAGAAGTCACAGCCCTCTGATACAAATTGGAGCGCAAGCTGCAAATCTTTAGGGGGAGGCTGAGAACATCTGGGGTCCATGACTTCACAAAAATCAGGAGATAGTGCCTGTGCTGCATGTAGTCAAGGTATTTCTGTGACCCAGAGGGAAGGAGCTTTTGAAAAGATGTTTCCAGATCCTGCCCCAGCCCATGGTATCCATAACTGTAGGTCTTATCGTCAATCTCTGCTTTGATCACACCCCCTCCAGAATTTAACAGTGCACATGTAGCCTGGATGATTTTGGAATTCTCACTTCTTTTCAAATAGCTATTGCTCATCTTCCTCCTGTTCTCTTCTCCAAAAGTGACTCTGCCCACTTCCACAATGATCTCAGGATAGACCATCTCGTTGTCAGTCTTAACACTCTCCATTGCCACAGCCCCTCTCTATTCCCAAAAATAACAGAAAGGGGTTCCCGTAAGTCATGAGGACAGAAAGTTTGTTCTACATTAACACATTATAATTTAAAACAAATACAATATTTTTCTCAAAACTATGAATTATTAGAGATACATTTTTACATTGTAAACAAGTTTCGATACCACTATTTTCTAAGAACTTAGTCAACATCCTGAGCTCTTCCAGCATAAACAGGATAGATGCTTAATATTTTGCCATAATGGAAAATTTATATTGCTGAAATTTTTAGCTATTTTTCATTTTAAATGAAGGAGTACCCACAGTAAGCCCAGATATATAAGGTACAGGTTGGCATAAAAGCCAAAGCAAGTTATTAGGAATCAGATGATGCTCTAATTTATAATTTGAAGGTGGGAGGAAGAAAGATGGAAAATTAAGAATATAATTTGGGGGCCCTTCCTGGTGGCACAACAGGTTAAAGTGCAGCACTGCAAAGCTGGTCTCAGTCACTTTGGTGAGAGTTTGATCCCCAGGCAGGGAGATGATCCACATGGCACAGCAGACCTCTCCTGACCAGCCTGCTGCTCTCCTCAGCAGTGCACTTTGTCAATCTGCTTGTTCTGCTCCCCACTCTGTCTCTGGTGAATATTCTCACTGCCTCTGCATCTGGCCATAAAATTTGATATTTTTATGTGCCCTTTGCTGCAGCTTTAAAATCTTTAGCTTGGGCCCTCCCTGGTGGCGCAGCGGGTTAAAGCACTGCACTGAGAAGCTAAAAAACCACTTCCGAATGAGTTTGATTCCCGCCTGCCCTGGAGGTGACCACATGGCGAGGCAGACCTCTCCTGACCCGCCCGCTGCTCCCCTCAGCAGTGTACCTCATAGATCTGCCTGTTCTGCTCCCGGCTCTGTCTCTGGTGAAGCCTCACACCACCCCTGAGCCTCTGGCCTGTACCCCAGTTCTGTATGTACAAATAAATAAATCTTTAAAAAAAAAATCTTTAGCTTACTCCTGAAAGAATGCCAATAAATGCCAAATACAGAAATCTTTTTAGCACTTCAAACATTGTTCTAAGTTCTAAAACAACATTTCTTTGTATAGAGTTTAAAAATTGTCCTTCTCTTCTATTCTTTTTTTATTTATTTATATATGCATACAGAACTGGGTTATAGGTCATAGGTGCAGGGGCGGTGAGAGGATTCACCAGAGACAGCATGGGGAGAAGAACAAGTAGACTGAGGAAGTACACTACTGAGGGGTCAGGAGAGGTCTGCGGGGCCATGTGGGTCACCTCCCTGGCTGGGGTCTCAACTGCAGCTATCTTCATAGTGCTGTGCCTTATGCTGAGCATTAACCCATTGCACTACCAGGGAGGGCCTTGTCCTTCCCTGCTGATCTTTCTATCCTTTAATATGGGATCTCTAAAATTTGGGAGAAAACTTGATCCTTTGGGATACAGTCATTAAGCTGCAATGAGCCGCCCTTTGCTTCACAGACCAGAGAACAACTATTTAACTTGAAACTAGGACTCTGAAATAAATGTTTCAGAAATTATCTCCTTAGATTTTGCTAACTGCAAAATAAAATATTTACAAACCCAAACCAAAATTCTTTCTCTAGAATAAAAGAGCCCATTTCTTTTGCAAAGTAGAAGTCATGTGGGTGTTGTTTATATCTACTCAGAGTGGGGAAAACAAGCAGTTATCCAGGGGGCTGTGCACCGTCTTCTGCTACTAATTTGCTTTGGGTTGCCTTGTCATTTTCTCAAAGCAAACAAAAATCAACCTGGTGAATTGTTTTTTCACATACAAGCATCTCCTGTTGATAAATGTAAAACAGATGGCTGCTTAGAGAAATTTCTGACAATGTTTTATTCATATCATAGAATAACAGAAGTGCTTGAAGGAACTTTAAAGAACTTTTAAAGATCTTCTACTATCTATCTCTTAATCCTCCCTATAATATACCCATTTCCAAAAGAATACTTTTGGAATGCTTGACCATCTCCTGCAATGAGTAATTCACTAACTGACAAATTAGTGCCTCTTTTTTCCCAACAATTGCTAGAAATTGTTCCTTATTTTCAGCAGGAATTTGTCTCCCTAAAATCTATACCTTCGGGGACCCACAGAACAAATCAAATTGCTTTTGAACTGACAGTCCTGGAGGGTCATGATTCCCAAGTCTCAATGACATTACGTGGATGATAACAACTACAACAGATACAAAGTTTTCTGAGATTCTAGTCTCACATCCTTTCCACTCATCACAGAATTTCTCATTTATTGTCCTTTACAAGTTTCTCCTTAGCACTGTTGACCTGAGTCCTTCATGCCCTTAATTGCAAACTGCACTAAAGATAGATTATTTAAAATTCTTTTTTTACCTGATGCTCTTGCTTTTCCTCCGGCTGCTTCAGTTCCACATCTGGCTTTGATGTGAATGTTTGCCTCTGTCAAAGGCCCTGTTGCCCATTGATATCAGTCTGGGAGGAGCAGGAACCCTGCCAGTCGCCCCAAGTCTTCATAACATTGACCCACTGAAGAAAGCTGATAAGGACTCAAGAAAAGCCTATGACAGGGCACATTAGCAGACCAGAGTCTGACGTCTGGGAGTAAAGGAGGCAGTAATAGGGAAACCCACAGTTTTCAAACTTCCTATTTCCATACATCATTGAGGACCTCCTGTCCTCATTACTTTTATTTTAAGCTCTATATTCCTTTTAAATTAGATTGACCTATACATGTTTATTATGACCAGTATTAACTGACTCCATTACCTTCCAAATTGCAATAGAATTGCTCTATTTTATTGACTTTATTCTCTTTATGACTCTATTGGGCACAAGAAGCAACCTAGAAAAACGATAATGATGAGAGACTGGCTATACTTGGGTGAGAGGATTGTAGATGATTTTTCATTTAATATCTTTTTCTTTCCTTTTAAAAAGCTTTTATTATGTTCTCTATAGTCAACAATAAATATCATTTCTTTATATTTATAAAAAAAAAAACAAATAAAAGTCAGTTGAGTGCTACCTCATTTGAGGATGCTGGTTTTATAAAACGGGCCAAACTTCTTCAAGTAGGCTGAATAATGATGATGATGATGGTGATAGTGATGGAGAACATAGAAATGTTACCTCATCAGGAAAGAGAGTTTTGTAGCTGTAATTAAGTAAGGATCGTGAGTTTGGAAGACTATCTTGGACTTGTGGGTGGGCCCGAAATCCAATCCCAGGTGTTCTCATAAGAGAGAGATGTGATAGATACAAAAGAGGAAGAGCAATGTGATCGTAGGGGCAGAGATTGGAGTGTCATGGCCATAAGTGGAGGAACATCAGTAGCACTGTAAACTGGAAGGAGCACACAGCGGAGTCTCCCAGAGTTTCTGGCAGGAGCACAGCCCTTCTGACAGCTTGATCTCTGCCTGGTGAAACTGGTGTCAACTTTCTGGCTGTGAGAGAACAAATTTATTTCGTTTTAAGCAACCAAGTTTGTGGTATTTTGTTACAGCAATCACAGGGACAAGTTTACTTCTTCCCTCTAAATCTAACTGTAAATAACCCTGTTTCAATTTGTTTACAATGAAATGACAGGCTAAAATAAGCATCTGAAGTTTGTATTCCTACAAAGTTCCACTTTGCTGGCATTCATGTTTTTGCCTCTTTCATTGAATAGAGTTTCCCAGGTGAGAGGAAGAATGGATACTATGGTGTATAATCAGCACAGCAACATAATAAACTCAAAGACCTGCTCTCAACTTCAACTTTAACCCTTTTTACTCAGCTGACTTCCAAAGTCAGTCTCACTTGTACTTCTACCACTTATCTTAATTCTCAGCCTCGCTCTCACACTGAGATCCCTTTTTTATTATTTACTTTTAGAAAGATGAAAATGACCAGTTTTTATTGGGTATGTGCTGGGAGCTTGACATACTAAATGGAAAACTGAAATTATCTGTCTCATAAATGCAAGAGCTGAGAAAATCCAGGTCTGTCTCATCAAATGTTCTTAATTTTGACCTTCAGTTTTGATATTCTGAATTTTTTTGGAGCCTTTAAAATCAGAAATCTACCTAATTTCCTCTCCTTTTCTTCCCAGTCAAAAGGAAAAACATAACTTGGGCAAGAGGATTAGGAACTGGATTTTTGTTTCTCCCTTTGTTTTCTTTAACATAGGTTGAAGAACCAAACCAGAGAAGGAGGAGTTATGTGAAAGATGAATAAAGAGACTGGCTTTCTCTTCCTTCTTTAACGTTCCCTAGTTAGTTTAATCTCCGAATATGAAGTTTTTCAGATCAGGGAGAGAATTTCATCTTCACTCTGATACCTCTAAAAAACTGTCCCTGACACAAAGTAACTTGAAACCAGTGGTTTGGGCAATGTCTCTTGGGAAAGTGGTCTGGTCAAGTACTCTTGACAAGTGGCTAAGAACTAGAACCCCCGATTTATTTGAGCTGTGCTTATTCACAAAGCATTTCAGGGTAACAGGCAGTTAAGCACAGCTTTCGTGCAAAAGACACAAACGGTCAAATACCAGCATCCATCTCACCCTCAGTTAATTCAGAGAGATATTTAAAGACTATAACGGCCATAGTGACCAAGAGCACAGCACTCGCTCTTCAGTGTCACTCTGACTCGGGGTAAGTCTTCTAGCTTCTATCAATCAGCTATTCTTTTGAGCAACTTTAGAGTGCTGATCCTGGTTCTGACACTTCCTAACGCGCTTCCAGGTCAGGTCCGCTCCACCCCCTGACGTTCGCCTTGCCTTTCTATTGGCTGCTCCTTGCCCCAGCCCCGCCTCAATACCAGGGTCCACGTGACCGTCTAGTTGCGTCGTGATTGGCTGTTTGCGTCAGCCGCACTGGGCTGTGGGATACCGAGGGACTGGGTGGCGGTGGCGGCGGAGCCCTTGAAGGTGGGTGTTGCGGGGAACGAAAAGGCCGAGAATGGGCTGCTATCAGCCTCCCTAGGCCGGGTTGGCGTCCTGGGAGTCCGGGGCGCGGGGT